AGAGGTATCATTATGAATCCATGATTTCAACATATATAAAGAGGGACTTCAAGAAATTGATATAGAAACAGGCATGTGTGCATATATACATATATTTCCTAGTTCTGCCTGTTGACAGGGCCTAGAAGCAATGACACCTCAGTAGCAATAAGCATGCCAAGCACCCAGATCTTGGTTTCTACTACCATTCTCCAATTAAAAAGAATCAGAGCTCCTTGGAGAAAAGATCCTGATTCCAGAATTGGAGCAAGGAAATTAAAAAATGAGTCTGGAGGCCGGGTGCAGTGGCTCACACCTGTAATCCCAGCACTTTGGGAGGCCAAGGCGGGCAGATCACGAGGTCAGGAGTTCGAGACCCTCCTGGCTAACATGGTGAAACCCTGTCTCTACTAAAAATACAAAAAATTAGCTGGGCATGGTAGCGGGCGCCTGTAGTCGCAGCTATTTGGGAGGCTGAGGAAGGAGAATGGCGTAAACACGGGAGGCGGAGCTTGCAGTGAGCCGAGATCATCGCGCCCCTGCACACCAGCCTGGGTGACAGAGCAAGATTTCGTCTCAAAAAAAAAAAAAAAAAAAAAATAGAATCTGGAACATCTGTGGTGCCAGAAAGTAAGAGGGTGCTTAAAAAATGATGGAGACACGTTGAAAGGACACAGGAGCCAATTCGAAGGGGCTCCTGTTGGCCAAATCTGGGTTTCAGCAAAAACAAAAAGTAGTAAGAGCATAATTCATTACAACCTATAGAATAAAACAAATATTCATTAAGTCCATACTACTATAAACAGCTGAGTAAATAAATATATACATTAAGAGTAGAGAAGAGGGTGGGGCGCGGTGGCTCAAGCCTGTAATCCCAGCACTTTGGGAGGCCGAGACGGGCAGATCACGAGGTCAGGAGATCGAGACCATCCTGGTTAACACAGTGAAACCCCGTCTCTACTAAAAAATACAAAAAACCAGCCGGGCGAGGTGGCGCGCACCTGTAGTCCCAGCTGCTCGGGAGGCTGAGGCAGGAGAATGGCGTAAACCCAGGAGGTGGAGCTTGCAGTGAGCTGAGATTTGGCCACTGCACTCCAGCCTGGGCCACAGAGCGAGACTCCGTCTCAAAAAAAGAAAAAAAAAAAGAGTAGAGAAGAGAAAGTTTTTTATTACAGTATAATTCAGTCAATTAATAAATGTAAAAATATTGAAAATTGAAATCAATGTCTGGCAAATGTCACAACAATAATTTATTCAAGCCAGAATCATCAACATATGCTAAAATTAGTAGGCAAATATATGATGAGAAACAGGATACTTACGCTGTCTCACAATATTGCCCTGCATAGTCTCACTTTGTAATTACAAAAGAAAAAATAGTGACTTTATAGTGAATAAACCTAGCAGACACCATTTTAACCAAGCTTTCAGGGATGTAAAGAGTCTCATGCCTTACATGTACAAACATCAAAAGGTAAATAAAAACACAGGAAAACATACACACTCTTACACTGTCACGGGACAGATACATACATAGATATATGCATAAGACTAAAGACATATATACACAGTTAGTGAATAAAATTGGATATGATAGGTAGGCAAATTAGTACAAAAAAAGAACAAAACTAAATTAAGCATGTTAAGTAAAGTGTGTTACCATATACACATAGCCGGTTGTTTCACAATAGACATGCTCCTGAAAAGTTTGGTGTATTTAAAATTAATGCAGTAACTGGGTAATTAAATAATCATAAGGCAAATCTTCCTTCAAAACAAATCATCTGTCACAAATTATAGTAGTTATATAAGTTGAAATGTTTACATATTGTGATTACATAAAATCATAAAACCTTCAACAGCATTTGCTTTTAGATTGCTTTTAAATAATCTCACTCTATATAGACACAGATACAGAGGTCAAACTCTGATCTTTTTATTCTAGGCCCAAAGCTACTTCCATTACACCATGCTGCTTCTCCTAACATCAGCAGGAAGACATGTAACCTCCATTATCATTTCCATTTCACCTCTTGTGTCCAAAAAAAGTGGCAGAGATCCAAATACTTTACATACCAGTAAATCTCTACAGACCACATACAAAGTAGGCAGTATAGGACAGTCATTAAGAGCAAAGATTCTAGAGTCAAACTGCCTGGATTCAAATTTTCCAGCTTCACAAGTTACTACCTACGTGATTGGATTTCTGGGAATGTATTCAACGTCTGTAATTTGTAGTTTTCTCATCTGTAAAGTGGGGATAATAATGGTATACGTCTCATAAGTCCATTCTGAAGATTAAATATGATAATGTGTATTATCATATTAGCACAGTGCCTGGCACATAGTAAACACTCATTATGCTATCTATAATAATAATGATGACGATTATGACAAATTTTTCCTATGGAGCAATAAACTTCATAGAGGATGAAGTGTTTCATGGCTACAAACAACACTCCTACCCTTGATAAATTCGTGCCGCTGGTCACAAGGAAGACAGTACGTTTAAAGTAAAGAAAAATATCCAATCTACTTCACAGAAAACAACTTACTAACTACGTAAAATAGAACTAACATAATTTTACATACTACCCACATCCACAAATCTAAGTGCATATCCCACTGACAGTGAATCAGTACAGGTATAATTACCTTCACATAAAAATGTTATTTCCATCACTAGAAATTATATTTCCAACTTAAAACTGTCTTCTCTTATTACTAACCTTTTGGCATAGCAGTTACTTTATTCCACCTAATGAATGCTCTACCTAAAAAAAAAAAATCTTCCACATATTTGTGATGTACCAATTTGGCATGATTTCAGAGATAAAGAAATCGTTTATCTATAAAAGAGCAAAGCACTTTAAATAGCAACACTTTTGATATAAAAACCCCAATACTAGACTACTCCAGTCAACGACTAGCCCTACCACCATCCAGTTTTACTCTGGAAATGGTCACTAGTATCTCCAGCACTAGTATGGAGAGCAAATGTCATTCATATTTTTGAGCCTATTAAAATATTTATGTATGAACCAGGAAAAACAAACCCTTAGTTTTAATAGAGGCACAATATCCTAATGATAGGAAAAGGGGTATAAAATGTTCTTTAAAAATTATATAGGAGGAAAAGGGAAAGAGCTGTAATAACTTCATGAATACTCATTAGTTTAAGAATCCAAGAACATTTTAAAATGTTCTTTAAAAATTATATAGGAGGAAAAGGGAAAGAGCTGTAATAACTTCATGAATACTCATTAGTTTAAGAATCCAAGAAAACAAGCTTGCTCTCAAGTTTTGTCAATAAAAAGAAATCTCATTGTTAACACAAATTGATTTAATATAAATTGATGTGTAGTGTTGCTATACATACCTGTATAGTTGTCATTGATGCAAATTTGTTAAAAGTAACATCAAAAAATATATATATATATTTCATCAAACATCTACAAAATATTTGTCCCTGGGCCAAATGCCATAAACAGAGGGCAACAAGAAGATGTTTTTAAAATGAACTATTTTCAACAGCACAATTGTGGTTTTATCCAAGTCTGTAGCCCTACTGACTGGCTAAAGCTTACCCCCATTAAGATGCTCTGCATCAAAAAAGTATTTTAAAATCATTTGTCTACTTTGATGGAAGAAAATTATGGCATGCATATTAAAAATATTTGATATGCATGGTTTTTCAGCAAACCTGCTATTATAATTATGATGTGCTCAGAGTAATATGAAAGTTAGTTTTCATACACTACGTACACACCTTCCAAAGGATAGAAAGAGGGCATGTGATTTGAGGCATGCTAAGTGCTATAGGGAAGCTAGACAGCTAACTTAAAAGTGGACCCAGATAAGCTGTAACATAGCAGCTGCTTATAAAGAATTGACAGTCACTCAACCATGTGGAGGCCTAACCCATGATCTCATATTAAACAGTTTTTAAAACCATCCATAATAATCACTCAAATACATTTAAATAATTTGTCACACACTTATTCTTTAGAGGTTATATGAAATTAAAGATGATGGGCTTCAGGCTGCAGAACATTTTCTCTCACAAAGTCATTCATTTTTTAACATCTGTCCCTCATCCCCAATAGGACAGTGGGTGGACTACCCAGACACCTTTCTAAGAGATATACTGAGGTTTGAATTCTACATTCCTAAAACTGAATAGAGCTTTTTGCTGCCATTTCACATGTACATCCTCCCCCACTTTCCTTTAAACTGGAACACTGATTCTCCTTTGAAAAAGGAGTATTTTCCTTTGAATAGGTGATGGGCAAATTCTCAATTTGTTCAGGTGCCTTGGTGGGTTAAAAAAAAAGTAAACAAACAAAAAACCCATAACTTAGAAAAAACAACAACAACAAAAAAGACGCAAAAGACCTGAAGCCTGAGACTTTACCTCACTCTTCTTGGTATGTTACCTTAGCATTTCACTTGTAAAAAGGATGTCAAAAAGGAAAAGCAGGTCAGTGGCTTGAATGACCTGAGGTGGGGGTAGGTTCATGTTGCTTAAGGAAAGAGCAAAGGGGAAGAACTTCACTGAGGCGCTAAACACTTTGATGGAAGCTGGATTTTCCAAGAGCCAAAGTATTAAACTAGAGACAAAATTTAAAGAGTGCGTGGGCTGGGTACAAGAAGTGAAAAGGTTAGTCGCCAGTCAGGGAAACACCCGAGGGTGGAGGGAGGGGAGGAAAAGTGTTAAATACCCATCAGAGCCTAGTGAGCCGTTAATTAGTGTCCTCCACTTCTGACTTTGCTCTTGCCCCCAGAGCAGCTAGCTGCAGGGAAGCAAACAGCCCTATTTTTAAGCACTTCAACCTCTCCCTTGGACTTCAGAAGGCTTGAGTTACCCGTGTTGCAAATAACGTTTCTTCCTAAACATGAGAAAGCAAATTTGAATTCCCTAGTCAAGGCCGAAAGGAACATAAAGGGACCAAAAAACAAAAAAAGGTAATTTCAGCGTGAAAGAGCTGTGATGGGCGCGGGGGAGGGGAGGGAGGACTTACCGCAGCCTCTGCAGGCTGCCCCCAAAGACTCAGGGCCAGTAAGAACAAGCCGGCAGCCAGGCTGACTCCACGCAGTTTCATTCTTCTCCGGCTCCCGCAGCTCCTTCAGCACCCGCACGAAATTCCCGGCTGGCTCTAACCAATTGACATAATCTTGAGGGTTTATATGGAGAGAGCTAGAGCCGGAGAGGGACAGTGAGGCTTGGGTGAAGAGAAAGAAGCTTTTTAAGAATGGAAGAAAAAAAAAGAAGAAGAAGAAGAAGGAGCTACTCTTCCTTCCCCTCTCCCCTCCCCAAAGCCGGTCTCTGAGGAGAACTTTTCCCTTCTGTCCAGACTTACAAACTTTTTCTTCACTCAGTTCCTACAGATCTACTTTCCTCCCTCTTTTCCCCCTGAACGGCCCCCCTCCTCATCAGCACAAGGGAATTTGAGTATCACTCCGCCACAGTTTTAGACTGCACCAGCAACCTGCGAGGGAGTGACGCTCAGTTATTTGGGGGAGGGAAACTTCCAGACTAGTTGACTGAGCACCATGAGTCCAACCGGGAAGCTTTTCTGTTCGTTCATTTGCACCTTCCTTTGATACTACTTTTCTAGGCTCAGTCCACCAAAGCCAATTACAAAGAGATCTAAACTGGGACTATTTTTTTTAGCGGATGGATCTCAGAGGGGCCGTGCTTTTTATTGTTAATCATTAGAAACAAATTTTGGTCGCTGCTCCCTGAGCTGCTGGTCTTCTTTACTTTCCAGCGGCTCACAGAACAGAGAGTTTCTGTATACAAGCAGAAGATGTGAAAATATTGGGAATAAATAAAGTATATGCTTATAAACAAGTAAGAAAATAAACAAGTATATGTGCGTGAATACTTTATGTGTGTTATATACATATAAGATTTGGTAGCATTCAGCAGGTATTGGTAATGACTCTATGGTATAATGTTATTCTAATACAGCTGTATCTCTTTGTTTAGCTTCATTGAATGCCATAATTAATGCCTCTTATATTAAGCTAATGTAAAAGGTATTGACTCTCATTGTAGTTGTGTTGCAGAAATATTTAGGGCAGGGAATTAAGTAACTTTAGTGCAGTGTTTCTTAGAATTAATACAAACACTTAATTGGAAATATTTAAATAGAGTTGATGGCAGCTGAATCGATATCTCCCAAATAAAGTAGACTTGAATGGTCCTTTGATAATTCTGATATATAGATTTTTTTAAGTGACAGAAGGATCAGAAAATACTTTCTGCGAACTCCTTGGAGAATCTTCAAGAATTTGATGAAGAATTCTTCACAACATTTCTATCTCCCTAGAATTAACCACTTTAGAGTATTTCAAGGTTTTGGATCTACTTCACGAGGGCCCACTCATCCTTAGGTTCTGCTTAGCTCAGAGTTGATTTACAACTCCAGAAACTGTCTCCCCTTCCCAAGAGCCTAGTGTACAGTCAATTTGAATCAGTGTTGTATGCATTTGGGCATGTGTGCAGGGGCACTTTCGGGCCCATCTGTCTATGTGGGAATAGTATGCTTATGTCTCTTTATGTGTAACTTAACAGTAAAGTTGAAAGTATATGATGGACAGTTGTTTAGGTGTTAGCGTACAGGTCTCTAAGGGGTTGTGTGTGAAGCTGTGGAGATACTTAGGGCTGTTGTGTGGAAAGGTGCCTGAAAGTGAGAAAGACTACCGGCTGCCCAAGGTAGGGGGGATGATTGACAGCAGACAGCCCCGCCCCTTTCCCCTCCATTCCTTCCTCTCCTGCTGCATGGAACTGTCTCCTGACTGCTGCAAGTTGTAACGGGCACCGCTGAGCCTGTTTCCCTTTGGGGCACTTCTTATCTAGAAGCTGTGTTTAGTTTCTTCCAAACTGGGCTACTTCGTCCACCTACTCTGTTCTGACTAAGGAAACAGCCTCTAAGCATCAGCAGAGCCCCGATGAGCCCGGGCCGCGGAGCCGCTTAGCAGTCTCCCGGGACCCAGCTCCGGAGGAGCCGCAAGCATGCACCCTGGGTGAGCTGTTGCTGCCCCGAGCTCCCCTCCTCTTTCTTACTTCGGGTTACTTTGCCAGGCCGGGACTGTACTTGTACTTCTGTCACTGCAGAGAAAGTGGGAGCAGGCATCCAAAAGGGTACGGGGGGCTACAGGCAGCCGCATGACCTCGAAGCCTAAAGAGCCCATAGCACTCACCGTCCCTCCCGTTTCAGGTTGTGGCTGCTCCTGGTTACGTTGTGCCTGACGGAGGAACTGGCAGGAGCGGTGAGTCTCTTCTCACGACCCTTTTCCTTCCCCCTCCTTTGACCCTCTCACCATGCCCATCTCTAGTATTTATGTTAGGGGGTTGCAGAGAGTTTCACCGCGAGACGGAGTCCTCACCACTCCCCTTTCTAGTGGGACTTAATGAGATTCTTGAAGAGGAATAGCACGGTGTCAAGTCAGTGTTTTCGGGACCAAGGTATCTTCCAAAACTTCGTAAAGGGTAGGGAAAACAAAAGTGGAAGACACAAGAAGCACACATTTCTGAGCCTCTTCCCCAGACGACTTAAGATGACTAGCATCTGATGCCTTCCTCTGCATCAATCTCCGCGGCAGAAGAAACATAATTTTCCCTGGTCTTCAGGAACTTGAGTTGGCACACTAGTTTGAGAGTGGGAGGAGAGCACAAGGAGTGGAACTTGAAAGTGCCCCAGATACTATGGAAATGAACCTTCAGTACATGCTTAGAGTCCTTTGACAGTACCAGGTGACATCTGGATTCTTTAACTACCTGAATTGAACTGATACCACTAGGTGATGTTCAATTTCTGTCTGACGTGTCCTCTTACTCGTTTTCTGCATCACCAGAAAGTTAAAAGTTAAAGCTGTTATAACAGAAAAAAAAAAATCTAAGTTAACATTTCATAGGCTGTTTAGATGTCATCTATCAAATCAACTAGGGACTGCAGATAAAGAAATTTCTGAAGACATTTGGTCAAGGAAAGTTTAATGGGTCCCAGAAAGTAGAGAAATCTCCAGTGGAATTACTAGGATAATTTGACAAAGATGGAGTGACCGAAATAATCAAACATGCTGCAGTTTTCCAGTTTCACTAGCTACTTACACTGACAGAAATACAAACTGTTGAGTTTGAATATGAAGTTGAACAGTTGTTGAGTACTGTTTCACTGCTGTATTTTTTTTAAAAAAGTTTAATGATACCCAAAGCCATTCACTATATAGATGACTGATGAATATATATTCCAAATATTTATCTTGAGGGTTTTGATCGTTTTAACTGATTGGCTCTACTTTTTAATATTTTAAATATTTTTAAATACTATTATAGAGCCATACTTAATTCAACCTAATAAATCACCCAATGCGTTTATAAAAAATGGATTATTTTATCTTGGCATATGATGTCTTTAAGAAAATACCAGAGTGAAGTGAAGTTATTTCTCTTATAAAGAGAGAATGATGCCAGAAAACTTGAATACCAACATCTTGTGACCCCTTAACTCAACATCAGTTCCTATGTAAGTAAATTCTTGACTTCGTAAGCAAAGATATTGATCTAAAACTCTGTGTACTTCTCCATCTTATTCCTTCAATATGCAAGTTTAGTTATGTATTACCTTCAGGCTCAATACTACATTAATTGAAAATGCCAGGACTTGATTAGTTAACAATTCATCCAGGAATCTTGCCACTTGTAAGTGTCATGCTTGGGCAGAATACCCTCAAGCGAAACATTTATTTTTAGACTCTGGCTGATTTTATTCAGTGTACTTTTGGGAAAAACACTACAGATCATTCCAGATAGCTGAAGACTTCACAAGCACTGCATCCTGTCACTTAATACCTTTAAAAACCACTTTAATGCTTGCAATTCTTTCAAGTATTGAAATGAGTCTCCAAAATTAAGCACTGCTTTGGTTTATGAGTTTTAGACTCTGTCTCATTGTTTTATGATGTTACCTGCTATGTCAGTGTGATTGACCATGGTACGTCTAAAATAGACCTTGAGCTCCGCGGAGAATACCTTATTTTTTGGCTTATTTAACTACAGAGCCACTTCCTTCACTTGTTGTTTACTTATGCACAATATATTTGACATTGTAAAGCTATTTTTTTCACTTTTGGGGAAAATGACAAATATAAAGAGAGTCACAGAATAAGTTATCAGAAGATGATTTTTCTGAAGGGATGTTTTGTTTTTTCTTTTACACACTTTGCACTGGATTCTCATCTGTACGGGCTGGTTCTCATCTTCTACACTCAATTCCAGTTTATCCTCGTGAGTTTGTTGTGTTTTTCACCCTTTGGATTGTTTTAAACATTCAAATTCTCTGTGCCATGTTTGACTAATATTAATGAAAATAGTTATTAAAAATAGATTGTCAAGAACTATGTTGCGTTTTGCTACGACAAAGTCTCTTTACTGTGATAATTAAGTTGCCAATAATATTGGCAAGCATTTAAAGATTGGGTCATTTAGGGGCTTTTGGGTTCTTCCTTTTCCCGAGTTTACAAAGCACGTCTATATAAAGTAAAGGAAAAGTAAATGTTAAAATCCATGTTAAAGAATGAGCTTCCATTAAATTTATTTTAAAGGAGTAATGATCTTCATTCAGGTGAAATATTTGCACAATTTATCTGCATAAAATAGAGTCTAGGATCTCAGAACATCCATAATTGTCTTTGGCTATTAAGCTCCTAACTACCTAAGGGGCTGTGCTAGACTGAGCACAGCATGCAAAGATTTATTTAAACATAGTTCCTAACTCTCTAGGAATTTGCTTTCTCAGACAATGGTGGTCATTATGTTCCTTAGAAGATAGAATGCTTAATGATAACTTATTATCTACATGTACTTGCATTGTGTTAGAGAAAAGTCTAGAAAGATACAAATCTCACTATCAGTCAACATATCTAGGAAAAAATATATATCCCGAAATAGTCAGATCCTTATGTTTTCTTCACACTTTGCCCCCTCCAAATGAGCTGTCAGGAAAAAGTCTAATACAATCAAGCATACTTAAAGTCAAAAGTCTAGGGGGATACTTATTTGGGTTGGGAGGAGGGTAAGGAGAGAAAACATTTCTATTGTCCCTTCTGCAAAGAACATAGGTAAAATGCCTTTAGCTGCACTCAAATCAAGGTCTAATAGAAATATCAACTTCTTTCTTTAAAGTTGTAACATACCCAGGTAGGTCCTTTCTGTTGTGATTTTCAGTCTTATAGCAGTCATCAAAATATGAATATTATGTAAAGGGAGTTCAGAGACGGAGACAATCTCTTCCTGTTCTAAAGATCAAGAGGAATATTTGCATTTTCTGGGGCTGTGTCTCTATAAATCCTTAGAGTACTCTTCTACTTTACCTGCTAGCAAATATCCTATATCAGCTAGCTATGAAAAATCACAACATATAATATACATGTGTGTATGTGTGTATATAAATATATAATATGTATATATATCTTGGGATGACTAAGGATACTGATAGAAATGTATGAGGACATTATCAAGTAAATCATCAAGTGGCTGTAAATACCTAATCCATAGATGATAATACATTTACATTATTTACAGGTCAAATTCAAATATATTTTAAGATAAAAGAGGAGGGGATAATAGATATTATTATCTAAAGTGTTACTAAGGAAGCAAATATATAACCATATCAAAAATTGTTTTATTACATATTTTAATGATTGTATTTCAATGTAATCAGTTTCCATTGTAATCCCATGTATTTCATTGTATAATTCTAAAACTAGCAGGGTGCGGTGGTGTGTGCCTGTAGTCCCAGCTACTTAGGAGGAGGCTGAGGCAGGAGGATTGCTTGAGACCAGAAGTTTGAGGGTGTGACACGCCATCATCGTGCCTGTGAATAGCCACTGTACTCCGCCCTGGGCAGCAGAGTGAAACCCTGTCTCAAAAAGAAAAAAAAATAGTATTCTAAAAATGAGTGTGTAGGTTTCACTAGACTGCCAATGTATGGCATTAAAAAAGTACCTCTAGTTCAAGAAAATTGGTTTTACAAAAGCAGTCACTTTCTAATGTTTGTTCAGGCATGGGGGGAATTGTGTTGGCTCTAAGTGGCAACAATCTTTTAATTTTTAAGCATAGTTCAGAGTCTTCAGTAAACATGCTCAGATATTCTGTAAGCTCATAATCAAGTCATATGACTGGAGTAAAGTATACTGTTTCCCTTATTATCTCATTAACAGAATAAAACTGATTGACCTCAGTTATTAATATTGGTTTTTATTTGCCTGAATCATATGGATTATTTCATAATTTTACCACAGGTGCAATTGTGGCACACCACAGCCTCAAGCAATCCACCTGCCTCAGCCTCCTGAGTAGCTGGGACTATAGGCACACACCATAGCTCCCTGTTAGAATAATCTTAAAAGTATGGCTGGGTGCAGTGGCTCATGCCTGTAATCCCAGCAGTTTGGGAGGCCAAGGTAGGTGGAGTGCTTGAGCTCATGAGTTCGAGACCAGCCTAGGCAACATAGTGAAACCCCGTCTCTACAAAAATTACAAAAATTAGCTGGGCATGGCAGTGCATGTCTATAGTCCTATCTACTGGGAGGCTGAGGTGGGAGGATGGCTTGAGCCCAGGAGTTAGAGGTTGTAGGTGAGCTGAGATTGTGACGCTGCACTACAGCCTGAGCAATAGAGCTAGACCTTGTCTCAAAAAAAAGAAAAAGAAAAAGAAAAGAAAAAACAGTATACAGTAATATACTTGGAGTATAGACTTGTCTTATGCTGTATAGGTGACAAGACATACACACATAAAAAGAACATCGTGGGATAACATCAGGCTATATTAAACTATCAAGTTCCTTTATATCTGCCTGAATGTCCCAGTGAGGCAGATCATAGGGCTTTTACTTGTTTTAAAGTCTAATTAAATGCTCAAGGGAAAATGATAATGGGAAAATTAGCTAAGAGCAATTATCAACTCTCTTACTTTCTTTAATCTATCCCTTTCCTAGGGTTTCAATTTTTCTTCTATAAACAATATTGAATTCTCCTCCATTACAACAGTGAATTAAAAAATAATCATTTTCTTTAATAACTCTAACATCTTCAATTGCATTACCCCCAAGTTTCTGGGTATTGTCTAGTCTTCATCACCAACCACTTACCCTTCAACCTATTACTGTCTCAACTGAGTCTACTCCAGGAAAACAGCCCTCTTTCAAGCTTCTAATGGCTGCCTAATTACCAAACCCAGTGGCTTATTTGCAGTCCCCATTCTATC